GCACCCCCTCAGTCTGCAAACCTCCCCTCAGGGCCTAGAGCAGGGGTGCAGGTGGAATGAATTCCTCTCCAGCCCCCACCTGCGCCCAGGCAATGGCTCTGCCCTCCCCCAGCCTCCCGGGGCGAGTCTCCATCTGGGATCCCCACCCCTCGTGGACATACTGGGCCTGATCCACTAAGGGGAGCCCTGACAGCTGCCACTGCACGAAGTCCACGGCACAGTGCGTCCCACGCACTGCCCTGCTTCCACACCTCCAACAGGCCTTGCCACCAAATGCAGCCAGGAAGTGCCTGGAAGGGCTGCGGCCCACGGGGCTTGTGTCTCATTGCCCCTAAGGTCAAGGCTGCTGTTTCCTTACTCCTTCCTAGAGCAGTGGGCTCCAGGGCCCATGGTCGGAGGCCCAGAGCCCTTCTCCCAACTACCGGCCCAGGGTCACCAGGGAAAGGCAGGCATCTGTCTGTGTTGCCCAGACAATGGTCCCATCAGAGGGTTGAAGTGGCCTCACTGCCCTGCGTGGCCCCTTCCCTGAGGACCACGGTGGTGCCTCACCAGAGCCCAGAAGCCCACCTGGGGCCTTCCATGCCTGCGCCTACAAGAGGCTGCTGAAGGTGCTTCTGCACTTCGTCTGTGCAGGAGCCCCTGAGACAAGACGCACCTCTGCCAGCCCCTCAGCCCCCTGCTCCAGTGGAAGGCCACTCTGTATACCAGCACCCATGAGGCAGTGAGAGCGGCTGCAGTTGATTCTGTCTGGGGACATGCTTGGTGCCCTGCTAAGTGGCCCTCCCCACTTCCCTGTGGGAGTGTTGGCATGTGCCCAGCCCATTTGAGGACCCTCTCTGCCACTGCCCTCAGGATGGTGGGCTCCTTCAGCTGTTAGACCACCCACACCTGGTGGGTGCAGACCCCACGCCTGTCCGAAAGAAGAGATGCTGAGGCCCTGAGGCCTTGGACTCAATGGGAACAGGGGTTGCCAACCACCATGGGCCTGGGGCCATGGCCGGCATCTGCTCTGAGCTGGAGGCTCAGAACACACAGCCACTCCTGACGTGGGCTTGCTCCAAGGGTCTGAGGGTGTCCAAAGGAGGCACTCTGGCTCACCCTGCTCTGGGGAAAGGCCAGATGTCACCTTCCCCAGGCCAGCAGGCAGCCACAGTTGCTCCCCACACCGGGCATCTGTGGTCCCAGAGCAGCTCTCAGAGCCTGCGTCTGGTGCCATGGCACACGGGTGGGGAGGAGGAAAAGGGCCCTAGCCTGGAGAGCAGAGGAACCAGGCCCCCATGGGCTGCCAGAACTGGCTGCTGGGCACTGCCTCAATTCTCTCTTCAGTGGTGACTGGACTTCTCTCCCTGGGCACCTCCCTCACCACCAGGCAGCCCCTGCCTTCCAGTGATGGCAGAAGTGTGCTGCCCAAGGCCCCTGAGCTGCATGCAACAGGACTCTTAGCCCCAGAGCAGTTCAGCACCAGGGCAGGGCTCCATCCTGCAGGCTCACATGCTCTTTCTGCCCGGCCCTGCCTCCTGCAGGCCCACAATCACCACAGAGCCAGCCAGAGCCACTCTGGGTCACCCCATGCCCGGTGGTCCCCAACAGCCCAGGCACCTGGAATCCCTCCCTGCGTTGGTCTTGCCAGCGGCCTCCTCGCCTGATGAAGAGTCATCCTCGTCGGATTCCTCGGACTGCAAGTCCTCCACCATGGAACGCAGGGGTCCTGGGAAGGGCAGCAGGACAGGGGTGGGGGTCATCAGGGCTCTGCCTGTGCCTACAAGGGCCCCTCCAGCCCAGGGCCACATGGAGCTTCTTGAAATCACAATCCCCAAAATGCACCCAGGCAAATGCGCCTCAGAGGTCCCTGTGCTCAGGCGCAGCCTGCCACCCTTCTCCAAGAACAGCGTCCGTGGGCACCCTCTTCCTGAGGGACCTGCTGGCTCCCCCACCCCCTACCTTCCTGGCCCTGCTTGCAGGCCTCTGGCCCCCGGCCTCCGGCAGGAACGCAGGGCCCCTCCATTGCCGAAGCCGGAGGAGCAGCCCTCCTCTGCTCTGGGTGTGCAGATCAGTCTGCCTGAAGCCAGGATGAGGCAGCTCCGGCCAGGGAGGGTGAGGTGGCCAGAGCCACAGGCTCCCTCAGCCCACTGCACCCCTACTCGGGCCTGCCCAGCCCCTCAGCAAGCCCTGCCGCTGCTCCTGGCCCACCGTCCTCCCCTTTCTCCAGAGGCACCCAGTTCCAGTCCCCTACAGACAATCTTGGTTTATATTCCTGTTACCAAGGCAACAGAGGGACACAAAGCCCTCAATTACCTTGGTCACGTGACCAGGCTCCAGCAGGTTCCCCCTCCCATCCCCACAGTGAAGAACCCTTGGAAAGCACGTGGGCTTCCAGCGCCCATCCCCCAGGCCCCTTGGCAACTGGGTGTCTCAATTCCCAGCCATGCCCCCCCCATACGCCCCCAGCCCTCCAGAAAGGATTCCAGGCTGTAGAGGAAGAGACGCCTTGGTCCAATCCAGCAGAAGACAAGCTTCCAGTTGCTGGGTGGGTAGCAGGTCCGTGGACTGGGGTGCCCAGGCCCACCTTGCACCAGAGGAAGGCCCTCCCCGTGCTGGGGCAGCCCTGTTGCCCGTGCTCTCCCTGAGCCTCCCCAGGTGGTGTGCGGTGGGGAAAAGGCAGACATGCAGTCTGCTGGGCCCGGGGCCCCAGGGCCAGCCCAGCACGTAGCAGGAGCAAAGCGCCTCCTGCCTGGGCCGTAGAAGCAGGTGGGAGAGCGGGCCGAGGAATCGCTGCCGTGGTGGCCAGGGCAGGCTTCATCCATGAGGGGCTGGCCAGGCAGTGTCTGCTCAGGGGAAGGGCCCGGTCCCAAAGGGGCCCTCATCCCCCGCCCAGAAGGCCAGCACCTCATCAGCATAGCTTGAACCCTGTCCACACAGACTGGCAACAGGGGGTCGGGCCAACACCCACCACAGACTCTGGGTAGAGCAGCACTTCCCACACCTGGCTGGGGGTCAGGTGATGTTTGTTTTGCTTTTTAATACGGACTCACTGAGCATCCACAGACCCCCAGACATGGATCTCTGGGGGCCCAGTCTGGAAACACCCAGGGCAAGTTCTGCCCAGGCACAACCCTCTGCCTTCCACCCTCCGCCGTCACCCCCGCATCTAGGTCAAGAGGAACTTCAGGCTCAGGGTGTGCTGCACCTCAGGCTTGAAGCAGGCCCCCACGTGAGCCCATCACTTGGGCAATTACCTGTGAAGCCCTCTCCAGGACACAGACCCAGCACCCCACTAGCTGCAGGTGGGGTCGAGGGCTGCTCCCACAACTTTTCCGGGCCAACTCCCGCCTGCTTCAACCTTGCCTCTTTCCGTCCTCATCACGCACCTTGGCTGTGGTTTTGAGATGGCTCAAAGTCAGAATCCGAGCTGGAGTCGGAGCTGGAGCTGGAGTTGGATGGGCTCGACTGGGCGGACTTCACCCCATGCCAGGGCAGGCGGGATAGCAGGGAGAGAGGACAAGAATGCTTTCAGTCCAAAATACAGCCGCGGGCCACACATGCTGTCTGGCGTGGGGACACCCAGCCCATTTGCTCAGATATGCATGCAAAAGGGCACACAGGTGCCAGACCCCGAGCAGCGCCGGTCTGCCACGTGTGCGCACCTCCCGGGAACCTGACTCCGCGGGGCCACGGGCAGCCCAGCTACCACCCCCCACCGCCTCAGGTCACCATCACATTCAAAAGGCAACAGTGACCTTTCCTTCCCACTGAGGGACTTTATATTTCTTGTAGTTCTGGGAGGGGCTTCACAGCACATCTCCAGTATCCCAGCTGCCTAGGCAGGACAAGGAACCGGGCAAGCTCTGGATGGAGGGGGTGGGGTAGAGATGGGGTCACACCCACAGCTGCTCATCTGCCTGTGGGCCCTGCCTCCAGACAGCATGAGCTGGCTACGGCACTGCAGGGCCATGGCACTGCAGGGAACAGCAAAAAGGTCTGGAACAGGAAAGGTATGTGCACAGACTGGCTCCTCAGGCTGCCCTGTGTTCCCTTCCAGCCCATCCTCAGGCTGTGTGACGGCAAAACACTGCCTCCCTGCCTGGTGCAGCTGTAATCCAGGAGCCAGAGGCAATGGCGAGTGTGCACGCGGGCCACAAGCAGCTGATGCAAGTGAGCCGGTCGCTTTTGCCTGCAGCGGGCCATCCGCCTCAGCCACCAGAGGGCAGTAAAAGCCAGAAGAAGGGGTAAGATGCCAGGGGCTGCACTGCTGTGAGCAGGGCGGGTAGACAACACAGGACTGGGTCACTTCAGACATCTGCACGGGAAGGCCTCTGCCTCGTGCAGGGAGTGCTGACCCACACGGGGCAGTCTGCTCCAGGCCCTTGGTTTCTGCTGGCAGGCTAACGCGAAGGTGTGCACACGTGGCAGAGAAGCTGCGGGCCAGTGCGCACAGGCTCTGAAGTGCAGAGTATGCAGCTGGGAAAGTCTGCCGTGGGCCAGAGTGCCCCAGAGACCCGCAGGTGGCCTCAGACCAGCACGCCTGCCCCTGGGCTGGGGGCTGCCAGAAGACTGGGGGAATGGAGCAGCTCAAGCACGTGGCACCAGCCACCTCCACAGTTTCCCTGTGAAGGGGAGGGAGGGGCCAGGGGGCAGGCAGAGGCCACATACAAGAAGTCCCCAGGAAAGCAGCTCTGGCCCCAAGGGGCTCAAGACCCCCTCCTGGTGGCCTGTGGGCCAACGGCAGGACCCAGGGAGGCACCAGTCCCTCTTCACTTGACAGAAGGTGGCAGCACCAGCGGGGAGACCTAGCCAGATGTGTCCTGGGGTGCAGAGGGAGCCTGTGCTGCCCAGCACTCCCTGGGGGCGGCCCCCCGTGGTAGGCTTGGGGCAGCTGACTCTGGGAGCGGGGTGCCTGGGGCCAGGCTGGGCCCTGCAGTCAGTGGATGTGCAGCTGCTGCCTGTCCTTGAGGGCAGTCAGACGATCTTCGCAGACACACGTCCCTTCTCCTTCCACACAAGTCCAAAGGGCATGGGAAGAGGACCTGGAAATGGTTTCAGCCTAAAGCCCTAGAGGTGGTGCAAGTCAGGAAGCCCACGAGGGTTGCGGAGAACTGCCGAAGCGGTGGAGCATCCAGACGAGGGCAGAGGGGCCTGCTGTACCCCCAGCACTCCTGACTGAATGGGACAAGCAGGGATTCCGGCGAGGAGCTGCTGCCTTGCCACCTCTTGAGAGCCAAGGCGGGGAGGCGACTCAGGTTCCTCACAAAGGCGAGAGCTTTCTCGTAGTGACGCCCATGCGGCCTCCAGGGTGGGCCAGTCTGGGAGGCCGTCTTGACTCCTGCACTGTAGAGGTCTGTGCCTTGCTGGGGTCCCAGGGTCAGAAGTGCCAGCAGGTCACCAACTGGCAGCCCTAGAGGCCCCGGGCATCCTGTTCACAGCCTGGGTCTCACACCAGCTCAGAGCTGGATGTTCAGAGATCTCCGGGCTCAGACCCTCCTGCTCATCAGGGACACCCCCAGGCTTCCCCTAGCAGCTCAGCCTCAGGACCATGGTCACTGAGGCCACTGGCGCTGGACACCTGGCTGCCCGCTGAGCAGCAGTGTCCAGTGCTCATGAGTACCAGCAGGATGGCGGCTCATCAGTAGCCGATGGGGCAGGGCACCCCCACGCGGCTCAGTGGGCCCAGGGGGACGCCACCTGTCCCTAGGCAGGTACTCAGCCTCGTGCAGAAAGGCCTTGCCAGGGAGCGCCCAGGACAGGGAGGGAAAGGCATCCGGCTCAGCGCCCCAGGTGAGGCGGAGGGCAGAACCTCCAGCAGCCGGGGTGGGGCTCCTGAGATGGCCCTGGACCACTGGGTGGCTTCTAAGTAAGAGGAGACACCCGTGTACTGCCTCCTTCAGGGAAACGGCAGACACTGCCTCCCGGCTATGCGAAGCTCTGAGCACACAGCATCCCCAGCCCTGTGTGTCCTAAGCCAGTGGGAACACTGTTACCCATGGGCCAAATCACCACCCCTGCCAGCACTGTCACCCCCAGTGGGGTGGGGCCCCTGGAAGCCACCGCTCACATCAGCGCTGTTGACACAAACCACCTCTGGCTTCATCTTCGGGAACCACTTTGAAGGCCCAGAAGAGCCCAGGCAGCACTGCTGGAGGCAAAGCCTCTGCCTTGAGAGTAAGGGAGGGTTTGGAAACCCTGGAAGGCCAGAGGGCTGGGGCTGCTGCACAGGTTGGGGGTCACTCACTCACCCCTCCACAATCCTCCCAACATTCCTCCACCCACCCACTAGACCGCCTCATGCCAGGCACAGCGCCCAAAGATGACATCGCCACCTGAGGCCCCAGGGAGGTCCAGCCACCCAGTCAACAACATGGCCACTGGCTCCTCTGTGGCCCAAGCCTTCCCTGACAGCGACCTCAGGGTGGCCCAGAAGCGCTACTGCAGCAGGGGCCCAGAGCTCTGTGACAGGACGAGAACCCCAGAGAGCTGCTCCGGCGCTCACTCAGAAAATGAGCTTGCTGATGGGGGTCCCTGTGTTCCAGCTCCATGCGGAGTGAGGACCCCAGCAGCCATCTGGGCAGGCAGCCAGGTGAGGCTCGGTGGTCAGCACTAACCTTCCTGACTGGGAGATCAGGATGAAGATATGCAGGGATGCCCCACTAGCAGAGGAAGTGAGTTCCCTGAACTGACCCTGCTGTGGCCCGGGAAGGGACAACAGTGAGACGCAATTGCCCACCCGGACCCCAAAGAGGCCACAGAGACCCCAGCACATGGGGCTGCACAAGGAAGCTCTGAACCCTATCAAGGCAGAGAGCTCAAAGTATCCTGCTTGCCAGAAACATCCTCCCCTCAGCACTGCTCCAGAGCTCACGAGGCAGGCTCCATCACCCCTGCCAGACAGGGAAACCGAGCCCTAGCGAGGTGCAGAGGCTTGCCCAAAGCGGGAAGAGCACGTGGGAGGCCCGGGCCCAGATCCCAGCCTCCTCATCTAAGCCCCCGGTTCCCCACGGGAGCAGTACCGCCCACTGGCGGGCGCTGAGGAAATCTGAGGGGGCGTTCTTGGTCCCATATTGGGGGGTGCTGGGGATCAGCCGCCGGCCCTTGGGCAATACTCGCATGAACACAAAGAAGTCTGATCAATACCCTACGGTGAATTTGATCAAAGGCAAGGCAGCTATGTCTGCATTCGTGTCAAAACTTGACTCGTACAAATGAAATATGAGTCGAAGACAATTTTATCAGTTCCCAAATCTTTCTTCAGTGGAAACAAATGATGACGACATTCTGGTTTATAGCCAGCATTTGGAAGCACTTAAAGAAGATTTTACAAAATAGATTTCAGGATTTACTCGACATGAGTAGTCCAGACAGGGTCCTAGAACCTTCCTCGAACCTACAAATACCAGAAGTATCACTGCAGGAGGAGTTGATAGAATTGTCAACAAATGAAGAGTTGAAATTGAGATTAAAAAACGGGTATCAAGAATTTTGGCTTCAAAGGCAAATTCCAATATTATATCCAGCCTTATGGGCTGTAGCAAAGAAGTTTTTCATTGCATTTCCATCATCATATTTAGCCGAAAGAGGATTTAGCATGGTCAGCAATCTATTAACAAAGAAAAGAAACAAATTGTCAATAGTGAAACGTGGCGATTTAAGATTGCTGTTGACAAAAATGACACCAAACATCAAAAAATTAGTGTCATCTCACCAAGCTCAACCCTCTAAGAAAGATTTCATTAATTTTTTCAATAATGTATACTTTCTTAATTTTAAAAATTTTAATTATACTTTGAGCAATACATTAACATTGTTAATTTCTTCTACTAAAATAATTTGAAAAGATCTGTCCTTGTTTTATATATAGTACAGTATAATTCACCTACGGGGGTGTTATCGAATCATTCTTTGAAAAAGTGGGCGCTGAGCCGGCAAAGGCTGGGACCCTGCCGTTTACCCCCTGGCCAGCAAGGCCGCCCCGGCACAGGCCGGGGGAGGGAGGACAAGGCCGGGGTTGTGGGAGCCGCCTCACCTCTGTCTTGAAGGAGGCCTCGTCCTCCGAGTTGGACTCGTCCACCTCTGGGGGCTTCCTGGCCTCCCTGGGCTCGCTCTCGGCCTTGACCTTCTCCCCTCTGGCGCTGCCCTTATCCTTGGCCGGCTTTTTGTCCGAGAAGGAGGAGGACGAGGTGCGGGGCGAGGTGCCGGGGCCGCTCCGGGGACCCTTGGAGCTGCTCTTCTTCTGCTTTTTGGCGCTGGGCTTGGGCGAATCGGCGGTGGCCGGCCGCTTGCCGGAAGACTTGGGTTGGGGTGCGGGGGGCCCGCCCTTGGGGGACATGCTCTCCAGCTTGGTCTCCTTCAGGGCCATCTTGGGCTCCTTGAACGCGGCCTTGGCGGCTGGGGCCTTCTCCTCCTTGGGCGGCCGGCCCTCGCCCAGCTTCCGCGACGCGTCCTTGGCGCTCCGGGCCTGCTCCCGCTCTGGCTCCTTGGGGGCGCCCTTGCTCTCCGAGTCCTTGCGCGGCCGCTCCCGGTGCTCCTTGGTCGCCTTGTGGGTCTTGCAGGCCTTGCTGCTCTCCCGGCTGGCATCCTGAAATGCGGGTGCGGGAGGGGAGAGACCAGGTCAAAGGGCATCTCGGGGTTGCCCTGCTCCGCCTCCCCCAACCCCTACAAAGTATAATCCACCTGATTGAGACTCAGCTAGAGAAAATCTTCACAAAGCGAAAAAGTAAGGCAGCAGGTGAGAGTTTTAAATGGAGCTGTCCCTTTAAACTACTAGGAAGTATCAGCAGGTCCCGGACTGCAGGCTAAGACGCCCCTGACATTCCCTGAGGGATTCAAGAAGAGCACACGGTGAGTCAGATACGCGCAGGGCAAGCCGCATCCACCCACTCCCGCTCCAACACCTCGCAGTCCCGCTGGGCCCAAGGCCTCGGAGGCTGCGTGTGACGTCAGGAGGACTAGGGGCACTAGTGGGTGGGCCACCTTTCTGTCCCCACCACAGAACCCAGGTGCCTCTGGCTGGTCGCCCTCACCCTGGCCCAACGCATTCCCAGGTACGGCCGCTCTCTGGTCCCCGAGGCCAACATCTACTGAGTGCCTGCCGGGTTCCCACACGCTGTAGGGGACAAACAGCCTCCGGGAATAGAAGCCACCTGGGTAGCTTTTCCAAAATGTGTACGACCTCTGGGCCTCTGCCTCCAGAATTCAGAGGGTTGAGGGTGGAGCCTGGACTTGTATGTGTTTCTGCTGGGGACAGGCCAACAGTGGCCCCTGGGCTGCCAGCCCAAGTGACTCCAACCTCATGTGCCTGCCCTTCCTTGGAGCAAGGGCAAGACCACCTACCTCACCTGGCGATGGCACAGGGCCTGGCAGGCTGCGCAGCTCAGTCAAGGGGAGCTGCAGCCACCCCTTGCAGCAGGGTGCCCTCGGGCAGGAGCCCCGTCTGACACCTTGCTTGGGCATCCTACCCATCAATACCCCATCACCCACACATCGTGGGCTGCTGCACTGGGCCCGCTGGGGTCAGCTCCCAAGGGCTCTGCCCCCAGATGCTCTCCAGACCACGGCTCACCAGGAAACACCAACCAGACCAGAACGTGGCCCACGCCACCCAGGCAGGCACTCCCCCGAGGCAGCCACACCAGCTCACCCCACTGCTGAAGGGGACAGTCTGCACAGCGCAGGAGGGGTGGAACAAACAGCTAAGTGCCTGGCAGCGGGGCTCTGCTCCCTGAGGGTCCAGTGATGGGACCTCCCAGCAGAGAGCCACAGGGACGGACAGCACAGCATCAGCCACATTCCCTCCACTCGGGCTGCTGTCTTCCTGCAAATCCACAATCCACATCAGTGCCAAAGATTCGAGAATGACCCCCCGGGCTGAGGGCTCTTGCCACCTTCCTGGAGAAACACTGGCCCCTGGGCCTGGCCCCCATCTTTTACACCATCAGGCAGTGGGAAATGGGGCTCACACCAAAACCCCAAGTAGCATATCTAAAGAGGTGTCCCCTTTGGGGCTGGCATGTAGATGGTGCTCTCCCAAGGGAGGAGGCAAGAAGCAGAGGCCCCATGTGCAATTCCAGCCTCTTCTCACGTGTCCACAAGCCGGCGTGGACTGCAGACATGTCGGCCAATGTGTGGCCCCAGTCTGGGGTGGGCTGAGCCTCCATTGCTGCCCAGGGACCACTCAGCTAGCAGGAGCCTTTTGAGCAGCGGCTCTTCACGTGGGGTCTGCACAGGTGCCCAAGACGGTGGGTGCTCCAAAATCACGCAGACTTTCGAACATAAAGTGATGTTCTGGGCAAGGACCCATCATAGCCATGTTCTCAAATCTAACATCGAACATGGCTAAGAACCTAGCTTTAGAGGAAAGGCAACCCAGCCAACCAGCTGACGTCAGACAGGGAGAAGCAGAGAACCCCTGAAGCTGCAGGGGAGCACGTCCAGGGCCGGTGCTGGTGGGGGGGGGATGCCAAGGAGACAACTGTCCTCACATGTAAGCCCTCAGGGGTCCTGCTCCTCTCCCAGAAGGCTCCAACCCCTGCCTGCTGTGCTCCCCTCTTGGGGGGCTGCGAGGGGTGTCCAGAACCACCAGGGACTGGCCCACCCAGGGCTCAGGGAGCCAGTCTCTCCGGCGGACCCCAGGCTGGAGGACCTGATCCCATCCAGCCCCTCTGCCTGAAGCAGGTGCCTGGCCTGCGACTCTCTGGGTCCTGGCAGCGGACAGCCAATCAGAGGGGAACAGCCGGTGCCCAAAGATAGGTCCTCAGCTGGAGGAAGAGGCGGGTGCATGGGCCATGCCCTCCAGGGAGAGCAGCTTGCAGCTGACGGCTCAACAGCCAGGACTGTGGCGACAGGCAGAGGGCGTCTTGGAGCTGTCGGCACAGCAAGCATGCCTGGAGCTGCAGCAGAGGCCTCCACCTGGTGCCTCCTCAGCCACGCCACCCAGGGGGCTAGAGAGAGACTGTGGGACAGAGGAGGACCCTGCCGACCCAGGCTTCCGAGCCTCAGCCCCACAGGGCTCCTAGAGGTCTCAAAGACACTCCAGTGAGAGACACCGTGAGCAACCCCAGCAGACGCAGCTCTGCTGGCCACGGGAGCATCCTTGCAACCCAGGAGGGCATCTCTTCTTAGGGGTTTAGGTGACTTCCAAGTGACATGTGCAGAAGAAACGGCAATTCCGCCTACTCCTATTTTGCACAGACTTCTGAACAACTGTGGGTGGCTGAGAGAGAAGCTGCCAAGACCGCAAGCAAGAATTTTTCTTCCATTTAACCTCCAAGAGGTTCAGGGAAAGACAGGCCCAGGAGGCCAGCGTGGGGAGACCCCAAGAGCCACACGCCATACTCGAAGACCCTGGCCTCACGTGTCTACAGAGGGCTTCCGTGCAATGAATCTGAGGATTTCGGAGGCCCACTGGCCTTGTGGGAAGTCCCAGAAAGACCCTGCCTGGGCTGCTGAGGAATAAGACTGCATGGCTGCCTGCGGGCTCAGCCCGCCCTGTCTAGAGGCCCAGGCCCACAGCACCCGACAGCGGAGCAAAGCCAGCAAAGGGCAAAGATAAGAAGAGGGTGAGCTCGTGGGGCCGGTGGTGCATTGGAGGCGGCCGCCCTGAGCACCCGATGGAGCCCGGCCTTGAGTCCCGGGGAATGGAAGCAGGCTCAAGCTAGTATGAGTCAGTGTGTGTACTGGGACACCCGCAAGGCTCTGCGGCCGCTCCGGGACGGCTCAGAGGAGCCTCAGGAAGGCAGGGTGCCAGCTGCCCAGAGGGGCTGTGAGAGGATGATGAATGCTCCCTCCTAGGGGGGCAGCGCTCACGGGTGGCATTCCACCGGCCCTTTCCCCAAGTCGGCCTTCTCTGTCCAGGGCTGCGGCCAAGAAAGCCAGCCTAGAACAGCCCAGGGAGGGAGCACCCAGCCCTGGCAGATGGACATCCTCGCCACACGCCAGTGGCCTCGGAGGCTGGCATCAGGGCTGCAGCGGAAAGGCTCTGCACACGGCCCCAGCCATGGGGGACTCACAGGGTTCTGTCCGTGTGGCCCTAAGGCCCACGACTCAGTGGGAGGCAGGGGGGCAGGGCAGGCTTTCTGACCTCAAGAGGAACAGGGCAAAGAGTCTGCAATTACTTGGCTGTTCCCTGCAATACAGGAGAGGCCAAGCCTCCTGAGTAAGTGCCCAAGAGCAGCCAGGCGGAGCGCAGGGAGCTCCAAGAAGAAGATGCCAAGGGAGCGAGTCTGGGGACGGAAGGTCCAGCTGTGCAGGGGGCACCCTGAGACCAGGACCCACCACTGGGCCCCAGTGCTCCCACATGACTGGGCCTTCCGCCTCACTAACCTTGGAGCCGTGGGACGGTTTGGTCTTCTTGGGGTCAGAGAAGGCAGAGAGTGGAATTGTGGGTAACATGGGGTAGTCAGGGCTGGGCCTGGACACCGTTTCTGCTCCTTCGGGCATTACCATCACCTAGTGATAAAGAAGAGACAGATGTTATCAATGAGCAGGGAGGCGGGTTAGAGATCCGGGGGCAAGAGGAAGGCGGCCTGCGGTGGCGGGCGAGAAGCCTACGGAGCGTCGTTCCGGGGAAGGGGGCAAGGAGAACTTGGGCATCACTTTCCCAGAAGAATCAAAGGCTTTTCCACTGTGAGGAGCTGGGTGCTGAGTGCTTGGAGCAAAGAGGGCTCACAGTGGGTAAGAGCAAAGAGAAGCCAGGGTCCCAGGATCGCTGGGCCTGCACGCAGCTGCACAGCCTCCAGGAGGAGGGTCCTGGATACGGTGGCCCGAAGGGCCGGGCCAAGAGGACAAGAAGCGTGCCAAGGAGCACAGGAAGGCAGCTGTGGCCAAGGCTGACCTGCACGCTGCAGTTAAGAAAGACCAGAAGCACTGTCAGGAAAGGCAAGGAGCCAGCCAGGCACACACGCCAGGCAGCCGCACGGCGGAGCAAGCGACTTCTGACAGGCGGGCACACACGGGACTTCACCGGGCCCCACGCATCCTAGGGGATGAGCCCTCCCTCACACAGGCAAGCGAGGTCGACTGAAACAGGGAGCGAGCAGCCAGGCAGAGGAGGAAGGGGCTGTGTGGGAGTGGGCGCAGCTCTCTGCAAAGGCCTGCACCGAGCCTGCAGGCGGGGAAGCACGCTGCTCTCTGCAAGCGGCTGTGGAGGAGGAAGGCCTGGGGTCCTGCCTGGAGGTGCTCCTGGGAAGCACCTGTCCAGTGCCAGCCAGGCTCCTGTGGCACCTGAGGAGGGGAGAGAAGGCCCAGGGGCAAGCTCTCCAAACGCTGGCGCCGCAGGTTAACGCCGCTAGCGGTCAGCCACGCACAGAGCCTTCCAGTTGGTGACAGACAGAACAACAGGACGAAGTGCACGAGAAAACAGAACAAAAGGAGAAAGAGATCAGCTTGGTGGAACCAGCCCTGCTAATAACCTTGAGCACCTGGATTCCTTGGTGAGCCAACCCCTTCATCTGAGGAAGCTGACAATGCGCGGTCACGGGCACAGGCACAGGCACAGGGGGCAGAAGGGAGGGCAGTGGAGCCCTTCGCAGCCCCCAGGCTCCTGGCTGCAAGGCGGCAAAGACTGAGGCCCGAGTTCATCAGAGGTGGTCTGACCACCAGCGCCCATTCCAGAGCCTGGCTGCACCACGGCCAGGGTGCCCAGTGCCACTAGTTCATGGGGAATCCCCTGCTCACAGGCCACAAGGAGGTACCCAGGGTTAGAGAAGCGGCCGGCAGCCCAGCCCAGGAGTACAGGCAGGTCCTGGGCTGACTGCCTTCACTCACACACCTTTCCATTCTACTTGTTTCAATTCCTTCCCTCCCTTGCAATCCACATGCTAGCCTTACACTATTGCAGGACAGTGTGGTTTGGGCCTCTGGTGTGTCTGTTTCTGTAAAGCCCTTTAAAACACGGGAAAGTGGTTAAATGGATCCCCTTCCACCACCACAGGACTTCACGAGGAGCCAGCTCACCCAAAGGGCAGACACACGCCCGGCCACTAGAGAAGCCTCTGCTCTGTGTGGTGCAGCTGCCGATGGGACAAAGGATGACACGCAGTGCTGGGGCACAGCAGCCACCCACCCAGGCTGGCCTCTGAGGCCTGCAAGGGAGCACAGAACTCCAGGGCCCGCACTGGGGGAGGACAGAGAGCTGCTCCCACTGACGGGCAGACCGGTCCACTCCTCCAGTCCTCCCAGCTCTGACACCAGCACAGGGGGGTCGGGCGGCACTGGCCACCAGATGGCAAGGGCCAGCCCCACTGGGGACATTCAGCCCCCCAGGACAGCTAACACAAGGACCACCAGTCAGGTCTTGGGAGCCACTGTCCCACACAGGTCTCAGGCTGCCTCTGAGACCAGAGAGCTCTGCTTTGCCATCAGCCCAGGGCAAGCCCTACAGGCCCGCAGCCCCAACGGGCAAGAAGTTCCCGAGCAACCAACCCGCTCTCTGGACAGCCCCCAGCAAGGGTGCAAAGCCCCAGGCAGAGACCTGGGGCGCTGCCTGCAGGCCTCACTCTAGCTCCCACTTCCTGGAAGAGCCTGTCCCCACCTGCCAGCCAAAGGCGCCCCCAGACTCTCTCCCCTGCCTCCTCCTTCTCCCCTGCACTCCCGTTTTATATGTTTTGATGATGCACATTAAGCCCTCATCTCTTCACAGCAAAGGAAACGTCCTCCTTCCACAGGCTGCAGAGGGGCCAGTCCCTTGCTCCTCGGCTGAGAGGCCTGGGGAACACTAAAGGTCTGCCTGCCTGTCTCCCAAAGAAATACTATTGGACCTTTGGTAAATACTTTGGAAAATAGCTTGGCATGAAAAATAAGGTGGAGAAGCAGAACTGAGAAGGACTAGGACCTTGGCGAGCGCCTCCCTGCTCTCTCATTGCTGCCAGGGCTCCCCAACGAGCTCGCACACACATCTGTAGAAATGGACTCCAGGGCCTTCCTATGTGCCGCTGGACTCCATCGGCTGGGTTAGGATCACAAAATAATGTCTTACTCGGAAGTTGGCAGAACTTAAAATCAAATTTTCTGCAATGAATAAATGATTGCCTTTATTTCTGAAAAAAAAGTTTAGGAAATACCCACCTGGATAATGAAGAGGAAGGGACTGTTTCCTAGGTCCAAAGAAATTCAACCCAAACTCCATATGCACCAAGGACATGGGCCTGCCTCCCACCATGAGCCAGGCCTGGATCCTTCCTCAGAGGCACCGGCCAGCTCCTGGACAAATACTCTGACTTTGGGACCCCAATCAGTGGCACTGGGATGCCCTGGGTCCTCGGCCTGCACTTCCCTCGGCACATACAGCCCAGCCTGCAGCCGGGCGCCCCTCCTCCTCCACAACCAACCATCCCAGGTGTACCAAGCACCCCACCATTCCCCACAAGCCCCAACACGCACTGCCGGCGCTTGGCCAGCACACAGTGATCCCCGCCAGATGACTCACCACGAGGCCTAGGTTCTGAGAGATGACGCTGTGGTCTGGCCGCACTGGGACAGAGCTGCCAGGCAGTGCGTATCATCAGGGGACCCGCAGGGAGCCACGGATGCTCCCAGGGGCCACGCGCCCGCACGGCCTTGCCGAGCCAGTTAAAAGCTGGCTGCAGCGCCTTGCCACACTGACACTGTCGCCTCGTGCCCATTCCTCCTCCCTCCATGGAGGGAGATGCTCATTAGCCACACCAACCCGGAAGCGTACAGGGGTAATGAGTGACTAGTCACTCCCAGTTGACATGACCCCGGCACCGAGTCAGGACACCTGGGACCTCCTACCCGGGGCTGCTGGCGCTGCATGTACCCTGCCCATCCAGATTCTCGGGTGCCCCCACCCGCTGGGCACACTCACCCCGCCGGCCATCAGGAGCTTGTACCGAAACTCGATGGTGGGGTTGTTGAAGGTGAGCTTCTCGCAGCGCAGGTGGTTTACGGGCGGGTTGCCCTCCAAGTTCAGGAACAGGTCATAGGTAAAGCACACCTTCCTGGGCTCCTCCTGCAACAAAGAAAACAGGGAAGTCTGACTCAGTGGGCGGGCGGACGGGCAGGAGAGCCACGCTGAGGACAGGCAGATGCCCGCGCCCACTCCCGCTGTCAGCTCAACCCTCACCTCCGCGGGGCCTCCACTCCCTCCCCACACAGACACTCATCTGTTTCTCTCTCTAGGTGCCTCCTCATCTACTTCATTATCCAAAATGAAATAACTTACTATTGGCAGAGGACCTGGCCAAGCAGGCTCCAGGGCAGAACCAAAGCTCATTAAGGGTGGCGCTTGGGCGGCTAATGGAAACGGCCCTGCTGACGGCCTGAATGCCTCGCGCACCCGCCAACACATGGGAGGCCAAGGCTTGAAGACACTGGTACGTGGCAGTGCTGGGACTGGACCCCAGGCTCCGGGACGCCTGGGCCTTGAGCCTCCGCTCCTGCCCCTTGCTGGATGGGAGATTTCTCCAAGCATATACGAACAGCCCAGAGAGGGCCAAAAGACGCTTTACATCGGTCATCACCAGGGAAATGCAAGTCACCATGAGGCGCCACCTCATGCCCATTAGGACGGTGTTACTTAAAACAAAGGGAAATGACAAGTGTTGGTGAGGACATGGGGAAACAGGAACCCGTGTGCACTGCCAGTGGGAAGTAAGATGGTGCAGCCGCTGTGGGAAGTGTCTGAGCTCCTCAGATGTAAAACAGAGTAATTGTATGAACCACATATCAATCTCCTCTCCTAGAAAGATACTCAAAAGAAATGACAACATACATTCACACAGAAATCTATACACTGTGTCCAAAGCACCAGCATTTACAATAGACAAAAAGTGGAAACCCCCAGGTGCCCATCCACAGATGAACGGACACACACAACGGGACCTCCACACGAAGGACTGTCACTCAGCCATAAGGAGTGCTGCTGTGACATACATGACAACATGGACAGGCCCTGACCACACGGTGCTCAGTGCTCAGTGAGATGCCAGACACACAAGGCCACAGTGTGTGTGCCCCCATTCCTGTGACATGGCCAGAAGAGGTGAATCCACAAACAGAATGTGGGCTCATATTTGCCAGGGGCTGGGAAGATGGGATTGGTGATGGGGAGTGATGGATAATGGGGACAGGGTTTCTTTTGGGGGTGATGGAATGCTCTGGAATTATAAAACTGTGATAATTGTACAACACTGTTAATATACTAAAAACCGCCAATTTTGTACGCTTTCAAAGGGAGAATTTTCTGGTATGTGGCTCACTCCCCAATTTTGTAAATGCTACCCACTGGAGAGAGAAACACCAGGCGTGCAGGGAGCTGTGAAGGTTTCTCAGCTGGAGGGCGGCTTCAGGACAGGGTGGGCAGGGCAGCCGAGCTGGGGAAGGGGGAGCCAAGCACCGGGCCCCTCACTCTGGCATTCCCCTGCCCTTGCGGTAGGCAGCCAGCGGGCTCACAGTCCTGGGACAGAGGCAGCAGAGAAGCCCGGCCACTAGAGAAGCCTCTGCTCTGTGTGGTGCAGCTGCCGATGGGACAAAGGATGACACGCAGTGCTGGGGCACAGCAGCCACCCACCCAGGCTGGCCTCTGAGGCCTGCAAGGGAGCACAGAACTCCAGGGCCCGCACTGGGGGAGGACAGAGAGCTGCTCCCACTGACGGGCAGACCGGTCCACTCCTCCAGTCCTCCCAGCTCTGACACCAGCACAGGGGGGTCGGGCGGCACTGGCCACCAGATGGCAAGGGCCAGCCCCACTGGGGACATTCAGCCCCCCAGGACAGCTAACACAAGGACCACCAGTCAGGTCTTGGGAGCCACTGTCCCACACAGGTCTCAGGCTGCCTCTGAGACCAGAGAGCTCTGCTTTGCCATCAGCCCAGGGCAAGCCCTACAGGCCCGCAGCCCCAACGGGCAAGAAGTTCCCGAGCAACCAACCCGCTCTCTGGACAGCCCCCAGCAAGGGTGCAAAGCCCCAGGCAGAGACCTGGGGCGCTGCCTGCAGGCCTCACTCTAGCTCCCACTTCCTGGAAGAGCCTGTCCCCACCTGCCAGCCAAAGGCGCCCCCAGACTCTCTCCCCTGCCTCCTCCTTCTCCCCTGCACTCCCGTTTTATATGTTTTGATGATGCACATTAAGCCCTCATCTCTTCACAGCAAAGGAAACGTCCTCCTTCCACAGGCTGCAGAGGGGCCAGTCCCTTGCTCCTCGGCTGAGAGGCCTGGGGAACACTAAAGGTCTGCCTGCCTGTCTCCCAAAGAAATACTATTGGACCTTTGGTAAATACTTTGGAAAATAGCTTGGCATGAAAAATAAGGTGGAGAAGCAGAACTGAGAAGGACTAGGACCTTGGCGAGCGCCTCCCTGCTCTCTCATTGCTGCCAGGGCTCCCCAACGAGCTCGCACACACATCTGTAGAAATGGACTCCAGGGCCTTCCTATGTGCCGCTGGACTCCATCGGCTGGGTTAGGATCACAAAATAATGTCTTACTCGGAAGTTGGCAGAACTTAAAATCAAATTTTCTGCAATGAATAAATGATTGCCTTTATTTCTGAAAAAAAAGTTTAGGAAATACCCACCTGGATAATGAAGAGGAAGGGACTGTTTCCTAGGTCCAAAGAAATTCAACCCAAACTCCATATGCACCAAGGACATGGGCCTGCCTCCCACCATGAGCCAGGCCTGGATCCTTCCTCAGAGGCACCGGCCAGCTCCTGGACAAATACTCTGACTTTGGGACCCCAATCAGTGGCACTGGGATGCCCTGGGTCCTCGGCCTGCACTTCCCTCGGCACATACAGCCCAGCCTGCAGCCGGGCGCCCCTCCTCCTCCACAACCAACCATCCCAGGTGTACCAAGCACCCCACCATTCCCCACAAGCCCCAACACGCACTGCCGGCGCTTGGCCAGCACACAGTGATCCCCGCCAGATGACTCACCACGAGGCCTAGGTTCTGAGAGATGACGCTGTGGTCTGGCCGCACTGGGACAGAGCTGCCAGGCAGTGCGTATCATCAGGGGACCCGCAGGGAGCCACGGATGCTCCCAGGGGCCACGCGCCCGCACGGCCTTGCCGAGCCAGTTAAAAGCTGGCTGCAGCGCCTTGCCACACTGACACTGTCGCCTCGTGCCCATTCCTCCTCCCTCCATGGAGGGAGATGCTCATTAGCCACACCAACCCGGAAGCGTACAGGGGTAATGAGTGACTAGTCACTCCCAGTTGACATGACCCCGGCACCGAGTCAGGACACCTGGGACCTCCTACCCGGGGCTGCTGGCGCTGCATGTACCCTGCCCATCCAGATTCTCGGGTGCCCCCACCCGCTGGGCACACTCACCCCGCCGGCCATCAGGAGCTTGTACCGAAACTCGATGGTGGGGTTGTTGAAGGTGAGCTTCTCGCAGCGCAGGTGGTTTACGGGCGGGTTGCCCTCCAAGTTCAGGAACAGGTCATAGGTAAAGCACACCTTCCTGGGCTCCTCCTGCAACAAAGAAAACAGGGAAGTCTGACTCAGTGGGCGGGCGGACGGGCAGGAGAGCCACGCTGAGGACAGGCAGATGCCCGCGCCCACTCCCGCTGTCAGCTCAACCCTCACCTCCGCGGGGCCTCCACTCCCTCCCCACACAGACACTCATCTGTTTCTCTCTCTAGGTGCCTCCTCATCTACTTCATTATCCAAAATGAAATAACTTACTATTGGCAGAGGACCTGGCCAAGCAGGCTCCAGGGCAGAACCAAAGCTCATTAAGGGTGGCGCTTGGGCGGCTAATGGAAACGGCCCTGCTGACGGCCTGAATGCCTCGCGCACCCGCCAACACATGGGAGGCCAAGGCTTGAAGACACTGGTACGTGGCAGTGCTGGGACTGGACCCCAGGCTCCGGGACGCCTGGGCCTTGAGCCTCCGCTCCTGCCCCTTGCTGGATGGGAGATTTCTCCAAGCATATACGAACAGCCCAGAGAGGGCCAAAAGACGCTTTACATCGGTCATCACCAGGGAAATGCAAGTCACCATGAGGCGCCACCTCATGCCCATTAGGACGGTGTTACTTAAAACAAAGGGAAATGACAAGTGTTGGTGAGGACATGGGGAAACAGGAACCCGTGTGCACTGCCAGTGGGAAGTAAGATGGTGCAGCCGCTGTGGGAAGTGTCTGAGCTCCTCAGATGTAAAACAGAGTAATTGTATGAACCACATATCAATCTCCTCTCCTAGAAAGATACTCAAAAGAAATGACAACATACATTCACACAGAAATCTATACACTGTGTCCAAAGCACCAGCATTTACAATAGACAAAAAGTGGAAACCCCCAGGTGCCCATCCACAGATGAACGGACACACACAACGGGACCTCCACACGAAGGACTGTCACTCAGCCATAAGGAGTGCTGCTGTGACATACATGACAACATGGACAGGCCCTGACCACACGGTGCTCAGTGCTCAGTGAGATGCCAGACACACAAGGCCACAGTGTGTGTGCCCCCATTCCTGTGACATGGCCAGAAGAGGTGAATCCACAAACAGAATGTGGGCTCATATTTGCCAGGGGCTGGGAAGATGGGATTGGTGATGGGGAGTGATGGATAATGGGGACAGGGTTTCTTTTGGGGGTGATGGAATGCTCTGGAATTATAAAACTGTGATAATTGTACAACACTGTTAATATACTAAAAACCGCCAATTTTGTACGCTTTCAAAGGGAGAATTTTCTGGTATGTGGCTCACTCCCCAATTTTGTAAATGCTACCCACTGGAGAGAGAAACACCAGGCGTGCAGGGAGCTGTGAAGGTTTCTCAGCTGGAGGGCGGCTTCAGGACAGGGTGGGCAGGGCAGCCGAGCTGGGGAAGGGGGAGCCAAGCACCGGGCCCCTCACTCTGGCATTCCCCTGCCCTTGCGGTAGGCAGCCAGCGGGCTCACAGTCCTGGGACAGAGGCAGCAGAGATGGGGCCAGCTCACGCTTCTCCTGTCCACTGTCTGCCGTCCACTGCAGCCGAGTCAGCTCCTCCTTTCCCTCCCCAGCCACGGGAGGCACACGGCCTGTGTGAGCAATAACAGGCTTCTCCAGCTCCAGTGAGCAGAGTCCGGCTGGCTACTCGCCCACTTCTGAACTAAGTGGGCAGGAGTCAGGCCCTATGGTTACATGGGGACAATTCTGTCCCCCCAATTCAGGCCACACACAGAAAAGGCACACCTTCCACATGAAAGAGCCATAGATCCCGCTTTCCAGGGAGTGAGTGGTGACACCAGGACACAGCCTCTGTAGTGGATGCCCACAGGCAAGGTGACAGCCCTGGTCTCAGGGAAAGGAGCTCCATCTCCCATCTAAACCAGACTTAGAAAATGCCCCCTCATCCGAAGTGGACATGTGACCTGTTGCAGGGTGACGGATGTGAGGGCAGTCAGCCTGGGGAGGGGTTCCTTCCCAAATCAAAAGCAAAGGTGCGAGGAGAAAGGCTCAGCACCTCTCCTCTTCCTGCCCAACCAGGAGGCGCAACGTCGGCCACGGGACAAGTGTGGGGAAGCCACAGACCTCAGCAGGCAGTCCCAGCACCTTCCCCCAGGCCATCAGCTCCCCTACTTCTCGTGAAGAAAGAGAAAGAAGTCCCCATGCTGAGCCACTGTGGCACCCCGAAGTGTAGGTGACACCCCTCTCGGTGCCTGCATTGCCCTGTGCCCACCCTCCTAGAGGCACTGTCACCGCGAACCTATGTCCCCACCACACTGGCAAGCCCTTGGAGGCAGGAGCTGTGGGGACCTGCCCTGCACACCCCCAGGTGATGTCCCAGGGGAGATGCTTCATATGTCTCAGAAGGATGAAATGCTCTGACGGACAAAGAGAGGGTCTGACCAACAGTGGGGAGGGGCAGGCGCCAGAAGGCCCCCTGGAGGCAGTGACAGGCTTGGAGAATGGCTATGAGTTGGTCAGGTACAAGTGGGTAAGAGGACGGGGAGAAGTGTCACAGGGCACAGCATCCTCTCCAGGAGCCCTGACTCCATATGGCTGCAGTGGGACGGGGAGGCGGGGGCGCTGGCAGCAGGTGACCCAGAGACAAGGGCCTTGGCCACCCCAGGAGGGTGAGCTCCATCCCCGCGGCAGAGGCATCTACGGGCCTTTAGGCCAGGAAGAACAAGCCCAGATCCACGTCTTGGAAAGCAAACATCCTCTGGCGCGCAGGTGTCCCAACTCGGACAGGGTTTGTGACCCACTAAAGAAACACAGAAGGCAACTCAGAGGTGCGTTCTGGCTAATACACGAGGAAGGAGCCTGACCACCACTATTGTGGAACTCCTCGGGGGTCAGGCGTGGTCCGTTGACCCCTGCCAACATCACAAACATCGACTGCTGGGTCAGACCCGGGCGCCACCTCCCTGTGAAGCGCTTACCGCCAGGTTCTCATTCACACCGGCAGGGGATACACAGGGCAGAGGGCTGTGCCAGGGACAAACACCTCAGGCAGGAAAGCAGCGAAAAGCCGAACTCTACAGGACAAATATCCCAGTTTCTTCAACAAGTAAATTGCAAAGGAAAAGAAAAAGAAAAAAGAAATGGAAGAATCTGTGGACTAAAAGGGATTTAAGAGAGAAACTCACAAACTACAAAGTTCCGATCTTACCCAGATCCTGATTCGAACGGAACCTCACCTTCAAACACTGACTGGATATGAAGGGATTACCCACGTGCAAGGAAGGCTGGCATTCTCTTCACCCAACTATTAAAAAGGAAGTCGTCATCTTCTGGAGACACACGCTGAGACACTGACACAGAAATGAGGTCTGACTGGCTCCCAGGGGACATGGCAGGGACATGGCGGGCCAGGGACATGCCAGCCTCAGCCACAGAGGTGACTGCTGGAGCCAGGGGAGGGGAGGCTGCTGCGGGGAGTGGCCGTTCTCACTCCATCCGCTTCCACAGATGTTTCAGTCTCTCCCTGGTTTACTTTTTTGAGTGGACACAGTGCAGTGAAGCTGCACACCCAGAAGAAGAGCCTCGCTACAGGACCAGTTGGGGAGGGAGGGTGGCCACGGGCCTCGAGGACACCTGCAGAAGGCTGTGGGCTCCCGCTAGCTGCCCAGGCCTGCTGCACCTTGGTTTCCCCACGTATGACGGGAGCATCTGATGTGATAATGCAGCTAACAGCACTCAACTCGGACCGTGGAGGCGGGAGCTACCCTTCTACCAGAAAGAGATGTGGGCTAGACAAGGCACCTGTGAGACACAGCAGATGGAACCTGAAGCCAGGATCCCCAGGGAGACGGGGGCTCACAGGGATACCAGAAGGCGTCTGCATGGCTCTGCCTACCACCAGGAGCGGGGTCAGGGAGGAGAGGAAGGCCTGGTTTGAGCCCAGGGGCACCCAGATGACAGTGCTGACTCTGGCCAGGCACTTGTCTAAGCACATAACCGACGGATGGTGCCCAGTGCAGAACACAGGTGCTCTTCCTGGGCTCGTTTCACAGATAAAGAAGCTGAAACAGAGGCAGAGAAGCTGCCTGGTGCCACGTGGCTGGGCAGGAGGGAGGCAGGACTTGTTCTGGGCAGGTGGTGTCCTCTGCACACCCTGGCTCTTGAAGTTTCTCACACCCACACAGCCAAACAGGGCAACGCAGAAGCCAGCGAAAAAGACCAGAAGCGTCCCAATGACTCCCCAGAGACAGGCAGTGCGGCGTCCGGGCGGGGCAGAGGCCTGCCGGAGAGCCCAGCGTGCGCAGGCCTCTATGGCCTAGACCAGCTGTTGGCAGCTGACGTGTCTGTCCCAGCGTCCTGACAAGGACTCCACAGCTCCTCCTGGACAAGACCTCAGGCCTGTGACACTTAGGAACTTCCAAGACAGTGACAGGCCCCTCCTCAAATCCCTTTCCCCGGAAAACCAGCCTCCTGAGAAAGCTGAGACAGCCCGCATGGCAAACACCCCAAGAGACAGCAGCAGGCCGTTCAGGGGGTGCCAGACCCACAGTCCCGAAGCCACAGCCTTAGTCATCCTGGCCAGACCCCTACAAGTGCCAGCTCACAGCAAAGGCAGCCAAGGCCAGCCTCATATGCTCTCAAGTCCGGCCGTGGGCAGCCACCCACTCCCTACGCCACTGGCCACGGGCCAGCATCTCTCTCTGGCCTCAGCAAACTCAGGGGAGAGGAACTGGCCAAACTGGTGCTGGCACCCAAAGCCAGCAGCACGCACAATATCACAGAGCTCGGGGCATCCGGCCCCGTCAGGGCAAAAGGCCTGCAGCACTGGGGCTGGCTGGCCACACTCAGAGCCCCTGACGCTGCCCCTCCACCACCTCAGACCCCAGCCCAGGGCCATCTCCAGGGCCCCACCCTCAGGACCGGCAGAGTAAGGCCCTCAGACACCGGGCAGCCCAGAACTCGCTGGACGAGGACGCCTGGCTCAAAACCTCCAGCAGCCCAGCCTAGGCTTGTCCCTTGGGGCCTGCCGGACATGCCCCAGGAGTTCACACACTCGCCTCAGCCTGACT